GAAGTGATTTGCTCAAGGTCATGTGGCTAGTAAGTCGGTTGGAACCCAGATCCTCTCACTCCAAGTCTAGGTCCCTTCTCTATTCTGTGTCTCAGGTTCCTTAGGAGCAATAGACTAAGGGGCAGCTAGGTGGTGCTGATGGGGGCGGGGCCCAAGCCAAGATCTTCACCCTTTGCCCCAAAGGGAATCTGACTCACAGGCCCCAGACCCTCATCTCCCTTTGAAAGCCTTAGCCTTACCTTTTAATCTTATTCAGATGTGCCCTAAAAGAATCTGGTACCCTTTTGTCTGTAGGCCCCAGAAAGGCCTTCCTTTATCTCTTTTTGAAAGTCCTAGCCCCACCTTGATTGTGTGCAGATGCCTTTCAAACTTCTGCTTTCCTGTTCCCTCCATTATCTATTCCCATTGTCTATTCAATCTCTCAGACCTCCCCAATTAGAATTGTTACCTAGACCCTTTACCCAACCCCCTTCTCTGGCCACCCAAAGTTACTTTAGTATTAAAGATCCACCTTGGCCCTCATTCAGATGCTGAGAATCTCAGGCCCACAAGGCTGAGAACCTCTCATGCCCGCTAGTCCTTACGGGTGTCACCTGGCCTATATGTTTTACCACTAATAAACTTTTCCTCTGGCTGAGGAAGATTTGAGTTGAATTCTTTCAGACAGGGCCTGGTACCGCGATCTTGGGGTCCCAGCACCCCAAAATCCCTAGACCTCTTCAATGCAGTAGATAGAGCACCGGCCCTGGATTCAAGAGGAACTGAGTTCAATTCCAGCCTCAGACATATAACACTTACTAGCTGTGTGACCCTGGGCAAGTCACTTAACCCAATTGCATTAAAAAAAAAAAGGAGCAATAGACTAAGGGAATGAAATTGGTCCCCTCAAGTCATGGTAGTGAGGAAGTAAAAAAATGGTCATTTTTGAGAGGAGGAAACAGGAGGCCCAGAGAACTTGGGAATGCCCAAGTTCACAGAGAGTGGATAGAAGAGTTGGGATTCTAGCTTTGCTACATTTTCTAACTAATCTGGAGTGCCTGTCTTGGGTTTTCCTGCCCAAGGAGAGTGTGTTACTGTTGGAGAGGCTCAGAAGCAATTCACCAATTCTGTTTAACAACCATTTACTAAGGCAGGCAATTGGATTAGGGAAATTTACTAAAATAATTAAGATATTTCCTGTGCTTAAGAACTTCTAATTTAATTAGAAGATAGGACACATAAATACACTATAACTATTTGATAACTAAGCAATACCCCCATATAATCAACTGTTCCAGAAGGGAAATTGGAAGTGGTAGAATATAGGGGCAGCTAGGTGGGGCAGTGGATAAAGTGCCTGGCCTGAAGTCAGGAAGACTCATCTCCCTGAGTTCAAATTTGGCTTCAGATACTTCTTATCTGTAACCCTAGGCAAGCCACTTAACCCTGTTTGCCTCAGTTTCCTCATCTGTAAAATGAGCTGGAGAAAGAAATGGCAAACCATTCCAGTATCTCTGCCAAGAGAACCCCCAAATAGGGTCACAGAGAGCCTGAAATGGCTGAACAACAACACAATGTAGGGGAAGGAGAGAGAAGGTGATGACCATGTCTGGGGAGGTTTGGGGTATATGAATGTAGCTTGGCAAGGACTCTGCTTTGAGTCACTGACAGGCAGGCAACACGAATTTAAGTGCCAGGTAGTGTAGTAGAGCCACAAAGACCCGAGTTCAAATCCAGCCTCACACTCTGTAGCTGTGCAACCCTGTGCAAGTCACTTAACCCTCTTTGCCTCAGTTCCTCATCTATAAAATGAGCTAGAGAAAGAAATCGAAAACCACTCCAGTTTTCTTTGTCAAGATAACCCCAGATAAGGTCACGAAGAATTAGACACAACTGAAATGACTGAAAAATATGTGCTTTTAGGCACTGTGCTAAATGATGGTGATAAAAATATAAGAAAAAAGACAATCAAAGAGCTTATACTCTAATGAGGGAAGACAATACCCAAAAAAGGAGCTGAAAAATGGGGAAGGGGAAAGTTACCCTACTCAGGGTCACTCACGTCCTCTATGAAGAGCCCATAAGCCTATAATGATCAGAAGAAGAGTACAAATTCTGAGACTCTTTTTAGTTGTCAGTCAACAAGCATTTACTAAGTGCTTATTTACTATGTGTGTGAATTAGGCTTGTCCTAAACTCCTGGGTCATGCTGATCCCCTTTGTGATGAGTACAAGATAAAAGGGATGGTGGCTATATTTAATCTCTCTCTCTTGCTGGTTTGATTTCCATGGGATCCAGAAACATAAACTATCAAGCTTGAACTGAAGGTTGCAAGCAGAATGCTGCAGTCTGTTTACCACAAATCAGCAAGAGCCTTAAACTGCTAATGAATTTAGTTCACAATCTGATAAGAGATTGAGGAAAGAAAGCAGAAGCCCCTTTTCCAGGATCCTTTGTGAACTCTTGCTCTGTGTGTTTGGGAAATGTTTCTGTCAGCCAGGAAGACTGGGGAGGGAACCAAGTAGGAATGATGGAGAAAGATAGTTATCAATGGCTATCTGCACTCTGGTGGAGATAGTCAGGATTCCTTCCTCAGATTTCCTTTGGATGAATGAGTTATGCTGAATTTCTTTTTTATTTTATCCCAAGTGCAATAAAGCTACTGTGATGACATAATAGGTGTAATAATATAAGTCCTGAGGAAAGATACTGAATCAACTCAAGAGGGTATGGGCACAGAGCTCCAAAGTAATTTCCAAATTAATTTTATTTCATCTCCTAGATTGAGAGCAAGGGGAAAATGCCTTGCAGTAAGTCTCTGTGCTGGGGATGGACTAGAGAGGCCTGGAATTACATGGATTGGGAAGCTTGGTTGAAGCTTTAAACATTAGGCTATTTACATAGCAGGAAGGAACAGCTTCTAGCATATAGAATAAGACCAGAGTGGCTATCTCTTATTGTTCCCAAAGCTTTCATCCAGACCCCTTGAACTCAATTTTCACTTATGTGAAAGGTTGTTATTGTCCCTCATTCTTTATGATTGGTTATTTTTATTTTTATTTGTTAGGCAATTCGGTTTAAGTGACTTGCCCAGGGTCACACAGCTAGTAAGTGTTAAGTGTTTGGTCTGAGGCTGAATTTGAACTCAGGTCCTCCTGACTTCAGGGCCAGTGCTCTATCCACTGCTCCACCTAGCTGCCCCCTATTGTCCTTCATTCTTGAAGAGGACCATGACATCAGGAAGGTGACACCATGACTTACAAGTGGACTAGATCTAAAAGGGTCTAGGTAAGAATTCTAATTGGGGAGGTCAGAGATTGAATAGACAATGGGAATAGATAATGGAGGGAACAGGAAAGCAGAAGTTTGAAAGGCATCTACACAAAATCAAGGTGGGGCTAGGACTTTCAAAAGGTGATAAAGGAAGGCCTTTCTGGGGCCCATAGACAAGAGGGAGCCAGATCAGAATAAGATTAAAAGGTAAGGCTAAGGCTTTCAAAGGGAGATGAGGGTCTGGGGCCTGTGAGTCAGATTCCCTTTGGGGCAAAGGGTGAAGATCTTGGCTTGGGCCCCGGCCCCCCTCCTCCCCCGTCAGAGCCATCTGGATGCAGTGGCATCAGTGGGTCAGGATGACTGGAGATGGCCCTGGATGCAGTGGGAGACCTTGGCCTTTTTTAAGCTAAGGTCTTCCTCAGGTCTCAGTTTGTCTGACATAACTTCCACTCAAGTGATTAAGGCTAGATAAGAATCCGCAAAGAATGGCCTCTTTTACCTAGTCAAAAAAAGAAAAACAATTAATCTAGGAGAGGAAGACCCTCAGGGTTTCTGGTGGAGACAGAAACAATTGCTATTTACATTCACTCTGAGCCAATCAGGGCCTAAACAATGACCAAATGAGGCTTGGGCTGGGACCTATTGTTGGCCAATCAATCACAGCCAGAGTGATTTGGGTTTAAGGCTCTGTCCTTGAGAAAAAACAATGTTTCAGCATCAACATTTACATTCCTTTGGGCAGAGCATCTACAGGTGAGGGAAGGAAGGGAGGAAAAAAGAAAGGAAGGAGATGCATTGCCCAACTGGAAATGTCCGGTTGGGTCCCCAGTGGGCCAGCTATTGATAGATTATTGATGGTTCTTTGTCTCTCATTCTCAAAGAGGACCAAGACATCTGGAAGGTGATGTCATGACTTGCAAGTGGATTGATTTAAGTAAGGGAGCACATAGAAGCCAATGTTCCCAAGTCAACAACTTACAAGAGTATACATCCTATCTGTGTATCATATTAAAAAACAAACAAACAAACAAAAGGTAGGAAAGAATAAGCTTTGGGTGGTTCGTGAGAATTTAGGTGCCAAGCAAAGGGGCCACATTGACTTAGAAAACCACAAATTACCATTATCTATGTGGTATTGTATTATTCAGTTTGTTAAACATTTTCCAATTACTTTTGAACCTGGTTGGGGCTGCGTTGATTTGACTCCTCTGAATGAAATGACCAAGGGTCATCTCCTAACATCGCATGTCCAGATATCCTGTGGTCTAAGGTCACTGCCGGCTGACACTGAATATCCCAGTGCTCTCTATTCGGGGGTCAGTGTCGCTCTGAGGTCGCTGCCAGCTCTAAGGCCGTGTCGCCCCCCCACCCCCGCCCCTCCTCCCTCCCGCAGGTCCTCCCCTCCCCCCATCCCGCTCTAAGCCCTCTGGGTTCGGTTCTGACGGAGCACAGACCTTCTTCCATATTTTCTAAGCCTTCTCTCCCCCCCAGCCCTGAGGATCTCGGTTCCTGGCATCAGCGCCCGGAGATGCGGCGGGGAAGGGGTTAATGGCCGCGCCCCCGCCCCGCCCCCGCCCAGGACAGGCGGGGTGAGAGAGGTAAGGCGAGGGTACGAAGCCTCCGGCCACCCTCAGCCAGCCCTTCCCATTGGGCCCCGCCCCTAGCCGTCACCGGCGGGGCCGCTCCCGCTCGACCAATGGCAGGGGCGGGTGGGGGCAAGGGGGTGGGCGTTGCCGCCAACCTTTTTTTCCCTGCTGGGAGCACGGGTCGGGGTGGACTTGGAGCTGTCGGGGCTCGGCTGACTGCGGCGCGCTCGCTCAGGCAGCTCGGCGACTGCGGCTCCGCGAGCTCAGGTGCGGGCGGGGGGGGGAGGGGAGCAGGGCGCGCCGGGGGCGGGGCGGGGGGAGCAGGACGCGCGCCGGGCCGGCAGTTGATCGAGGCTCCTCTGCCTCGTTCTTCGCCGCCGCCGCCGCCGCAGCGCCCTGCCCCGGGGATTCCCGCGGCCCCTCTTCGGGCCGTCAGCGCGCGGTGGCGGCGGCTGCAGGGGAGGGAGGCAGCGGAGCTGGGGGCTGCCCTCTCCCGGGCTGGACTCCCCCAGGCGCCGGGCCCTACGCGGCAAGCGCCGGAGTGGCCCTTCCATTTTACACCTGGGGAAACTGAGGCCTACCGAGGAGGAGGGGAGACTGGCCTGGGGGTTGCATTGGCAGTATCAGAGTCGTGGTTCCGGCCCAGCTCTCCGTACATCCCAGGCCAGGCAATCAGCAAATGACCTGCTCTTAGCAGCAAAACCTAGCGCAAGGGCAATGCCATGTTAGCCTTCATCACCATCATCGCCATCATCTGCCCTCCCCTCCCCCAACTCCGGTTCCCAGCTTGTCCAAAGTCAAAGCAGCTGAGCCAGACTTGAACTTCTGACCTCTGAGCTCACTGCCTGTAGGTCAATTTTACATCAGGTGTAAGATGCCAGTGAGAATCCTATCTTGGCTCTCCTCCCCTTGGCTTGTCAATGACCCTTAAAAAAACCCTGCGGGCCAGTCTCATCTCCCCATTCTGCAGATGAAAGCACCGAGGCCCAGAGCTTGAGTCATGCAGCTATAGACTCCAACCTCTGTCTTTTCTTAACAGCCCCTTCTGAGGACCAGAAGAACCTCAGTCTGAGGATTGGTGACCCAGACTTTGGGTGTGGCTGGTAGAGTTTGCCTTTGAAGTGAGGTTAGGCTGAAGGAGGGAGCTGCCTGCCTTAGTTCCCTCCGCCTGGAGGTGATGAGTGTGGTGACCAGGGGTAAGTAAACCAGCCCTGCCTTTCCTAGGAGCTTGAGCTTTGAGGGGATTGAATCACTTTTTCTAGGGTCACCTAGAAGTTGCCCAGTTAACTGGAGGCCTGCCTACTGGAGTCTTGTGGTCCAGGAGTAAGTCAACTTGGACTTGGTGGTTTTTGTTTTGTTTTTAGAAGCTTGGTTGCTTTCGTTTGAGCAAGGGACAAAATTCAGCATTTTGTGCATTTGAGTTCTGGAGAAATGGGGTAGCTTTAGTCTGTAATGACTGTGGTTCCAAAATCTTGCCTGTCTTTTCTTGCCTAAATTTATACAAGTTTAAATATGTATTGAGGGGCAGCTAGGTGGCTCAGTGCATAGAGCTCCAGCCTTGGAGTCAGGAGGACCTCAGTTCAAATGTGGCCTCAGACACTTGATGCTTGCTCGATGTGTGACCCTGGACAACTCACTTAACCCCATTGCCTCACCAAAAAAAAAATTAAAAATATACATGTGAGTAGGAATATTAGGAGTTAAGCTAGAGATTCAATTCATCAGCTCTTAGAGCTGGAAAGGGACCTTAGAGGTCCTTATTGTTGAGTAGTTTCAGTCATGTCCACTTCTGTGACCCCATTTAGAATTTTCTTGGCAGACATACTGATTTGGTTTGCCATTTTCTTCTCTAGCTCATTTGACAGCTGAGGAAAATGAGGCAAACAGGGTGAAGTGACTTGCTCAAGTTCTTACAGCTAGTAAGTGACTGAGGCTGGATTTAAACTTTATGTGTGTGTGTGATGTGACCAGCATTGTATTAACTCTGCCACCTAGCTGGGCCCAGGTGAGATAAATTACTTGCCCAAGGTCCCATTGGTAATTAGTTTTAGAGCTAGGACTTGAACCCCTGGTCTTCTGACATAGATGTTTTTGTTCTTTTAAAGGATAGTGAAATAATTTCAGTGCATGTTTACATGCCATGTTTCAAGAATTAAATCTTCCTTAAGCCTTGAATGTTTTAATTTTCAGGTTTAAAGAAATCTGATTCTCCTAAAGGAATAGCCCTATCCAGTCTAATTTCATAATGTCTAGTACTGTGATGAGTTGGATTTTCAATTCAGCCAGAAGCAGCATTGCCACCTTACAAGGGAAAGGACATTTGTATTCAAGATGTGTCCAAAACAGGAATAAGTTAAAGTGGAAGATTTTTTCTAAAGAGCTATTTAAATCAACAGCAGTAGACTGTGGACCACACAATAATAGCCTTTTTCTACAAAAAGCTTTCAGGCACACTTCCACTGAAGAAGATGACTTTCATTTGCAGCTCACACCAGCCCAGATAAGTGAGGTCTTGAGAGCTGGTGAATCATCACATAAAATTCTCCAATATGAGGGCAAACTTCCTAATCCAGTGTTAAGGTTTGAAACTAACCAGTTGGCTGCCAACTCTCCAGTCGAGGACCGTGGAAGTGTCGTATCTTGCCTTCAGACTAAAGGAATGATGTTTGGTGTCTTTGATGGGCATGGGGGCCATGCATGTGCCCAGGCAGTAAGTGAAAGGCTCTTCTATTATGTCGCTGTGTCGTTGATGTCTCATAAAACCCTGGAGGTGTTGGAGGATGCCATGGAGTATATGAAGCCTCTCCTGCCCATCCTGCAGTGGCATAAGCACCCAGGTGACAGTATTTACAAGGAAGTTACTTCTGTGCACTTTGACCACCTCCGAGTCTATTGGCAAGAGCTGCTGGACCTGCATATGGAAATGGGGCTCAGCATAAAGGAAGCTTTAACATATTCCTTCCAGAGACTGGATTCTGACATCTCTCTGGAAATTCAGGCTCCCTTGGAGGATGAAATGTTGAGAAACCTCTCCCTCCAGGTTGCATTTTCTGGTGCAACAGCGTGTATGGCTCATGTTGATGGGATTCACTTGCATGTGGCGAATGCTGGGGACTGTCGTGCTATACTTGGTGTGCAGGAAGAGAATGGGGCATGGTCTTGTCTGCCCCTTACCCGAGACCATAATGCCTGGAACAAAGCTGAGCTCTTAAGGCTGAAGAAGGAACATCCAGAGTCTGAGGAGAGAACTGTTATTGTGGACGATAGGCTTTTAGGTGTTCTCATGCCTTCCAGGGCATTTGGTGATGTCCAGTTAAAATGGAGTAAAGAATTGCAGCAGAGTGTCCTCCAGAGAGGTTTTGACACCGAGGCTTTGAATATTTACCGGTTCACCCCTCCTAACTACTACACACCGCCTTATTTGACGGCAGAACCAGAAATCACTTACCACAAATTGAGACGTCAGGATAAGTTCCTCGTCATGGCTTCTGATGGACTGTGGGACTTGCTGGGGAATGAAGATGTGGTTAGGCTTGTTGTGGAGCACCTTGAGGAGGCAAATAGGCAGAAACCTGAACTGACTGAGAAACCGGCTAATCTGGGCCTCATGCAAAGCGTGTTACTCCGAAGAAAAGCCAAAGGCATCCTTGCCCCTGACCAAAATGCAGCCACTCATCTAATTAGGCATGCCATTGGATGCAACGGATATGGGGAGATGGACCAAGAGAGGCTGTCAGCCATGTTGACATTGCCCGATGATTTAGCACGGATGTATAGGGATGATATCACAGTTACAGTGGTTTATTTTAATTCAGACTCAATTGACATGTTTTATAAGAGGAGTGAATAAGTTTTTTCCCCTCTTCCCGCCGACTGCAAAAGTTTATTTAAATGTTATGATATAAAATTTTTTTATGTTTAAGCTGTCATGTTTGAACTGTTAGAAATGCAAAGAAATGTTAGTGCAAATATCTGCTGAAAATATTTAACTTAATAGATTAGACTAAAGTTGAACATACAAGTTAAAGGTGGTCTCCATTGTGTTATCTTTCCATAAGCACAAAAAACCCCAGTTTGAAGTTAGAGCATAGCCTAGTTTAACAAATAGGTGTTTTGTTTTTTAAATAGTATTTAAATTAAGAAAAATCTGATGTTGAATAATGATTGGAGCTTGAGTTATGTAAAAAACTGATTCTTGGGTCATAGTTTCTTTAAAAGTGGAAGTATACTGTGATCGTCTTAGGTTACATCCCTATACCTGTGAACTTACCAGTCACAATTCACTGTTAGAGACTTAATGGGCTGTGAAAGGAGTTTTCAACATTACTGATTTGCATGGTTTACAAAGCATACTATAGGACCCTTGTTCTATTCAGTATTGTAACATTTAGACTGGCCTTGTGAATACATTTTGTGATGACATGTTCTACTTATTTTTTAGGCCCTAGAAAATTGATTGTACAAACTTGCAAATAGATCTTGCATGTATGCCTTAAAATATGAAGGGACATTTAGTCCCACTTTTGCTAAGGCCTTCACGTCAAAGGCCTTTATTTGTAGAACCTTTTCCCTATGCTGCCCTCCGTTTCTCTCCAGAGTAGACAGTTGAATAATTATGCAAATGAATTCTGATGAGATCATCAGGATATCTCCTAGCTTCTGGCAAAGACTTAAGTAGGCGTAATTTCCCCTGTCTAACTCAAGATCCCCATCTACCTTGAGATATCCATCCAGCTATGAGAGTTATTCAGCTTACCTCTTAACTTTGACCAAGCCTTCTGTTTGCTGTTGCTGACAACGTAAAGGAGAAATGATGTGGAGGGGAAAATGCTACATTTTTACTTCCTTCCTGAATAGCACTTGAAGCAGGCAATTCAGAGTATTTGGTAGATGTAACTTGCTTTTCAGTTTTATGGGGAGGAGCAGGCTTTCTTATGATGTAGGATTTGAATTGAGAAGTAAAAATTAGACATGTGGAATTAGAAGCAGGATGCTGAGGGCTTGGAGTTGAGGTCTTGACCTGTCAAACTCTGCCCCTGGGGCAGCTAGGTAGCAGTGGATAGAGCACTGGCCCTGGAGTCAGGAGGACCTGAGTTCAAATGGGGCCTCAGACACTTAACACTTACTATCTGTGTGACCTTAGGCAAGTTACTTAACCCCAATAGCCTCACCGAAAAAGCAAAAAAAGAAAAAAATTTAAAAATTTAAAAAAATCAAACTCTGCCCCTGACACTTTAGACATTGATTTGAACAAGTCATTTGACCTCTCGCTACATACCTCCTTTGGAATCTTCCTTTCGTGGAAGGTGTACCTGTGCTGGGAGTCCTCCCTATTAAAGAAATCACATAGTCTGATGTATGGAATTTAAAAAGCACAAAGGTGCTATTCATCTCTAAATCCCTGCAGAATCCTGAACTATCAGAACTGGAAGGACTTTGAGACAGAATCTATTTCAGCCCCTGTATCTAGTGCTGAGTGTAGAAATTAAAAAAACAATTAAAGGGCAGTTAATTGGTGTCTGAAATGAAGCTGTATATATACTTTAAATTTTGCCTGTAAGTCCTAAGGTTCTACCATGAAAAACATTCACTCCCTTTGGGGTGGTTTGACTTTTTTCATTCCTCTTTATGCTTTCCCTGTTCTTCCCTCTAATGAAACTAGAACTTTCTAGCAAGGGTGAATTATTACAACTGAGAAGGCCCACTGGGTGGGAACAAGGGCATCACTGCTCAGCTGGTGGTGTCTTAGGTGTGATCAGAAAGACCTGCTCCCTTTGAGTAACTAAAGGGACCTAAGAAGGGGAGAACGAGTTAGACAAACTTTGAGAAACCAGAGGTTTAAAAAGCTAACAAATGTGGTGTTTGTTCCCTCCACTCTCCCCTCACTCTGAGGAGATGTGCCCTAAAAGTTAACTCTCCAAGTTGTATGTCTTGGGCCTAAGTTCTCCATTCCCTTTGGGCCTCTATTAGTGTGACTTGGCACTAGCTTTTCCTATTTACTTGGTAGTATGTATCAGATTATTGCACCCCTTGGCCACTGATAATGTGGATAAGAAGCAGTTAAGGGTTAGGACAATTCTCTTCCCTTTTCCACCTCCCATGCCGCAACACTGCATGTTTATGTGGCCTGTTTTAGTTTTAACATGGATTTCAGTCTGTAAGTACTAAGTGAAATTTAGTGCTGCATCTAATGTTTGTTTGAAATAACTGGTTACTGCTTTTAAAACACTCATTTTTTTTTACACCAAGGCAAATTCTGATCCCTGATGCCCATGATAGCCTTAAAATGTCAACTAATGTGGCTTGCCTTAATTTACTTCAAGATATTGCTCAAGTCAAGGACCTGTATTTCTGGGAATATTTGTGCTGCTTCTGACTTAATATAATATGAATTATTTTCCTGTCAGCAACTGAGTGTGCTCCTAGTACTGATATACTTCATGTAACTACCCTTCCTTTCAGCTTGCTAAAAAATGAGGCTTTTCAGGGGCTGGGGGGAGTCTTTATAAAAAAATTAGTCTTAGAGATTGAGCTATACTTGAGCCTTGAGTTTAGCACTTGGGATTATCCGTAAGAATCCAGATTTAATTGCAGTAATGCACTTTGCAGGCAGGGTGCCTAGAGATCTTTTGCGAAATTCTGTCCCACTTTGTACATTTTCTTGCTTTTCAATCTTGCCTTTGGAAGGACTAACCAAAAAGTGGCTTGAGTGGGCCCCTAGGTGACCCTCTGAGTTCAAATCAGGGCTCAAATGCATGACACTTACTAGCTGTGTGACCCTGGGTGAGTCATTTAACCCCGATTGCCTCACTAAAAAGCAAAAAAGTGGCTTGTATTCCATTGTGGGGATGGTTATGAACTTTATATCCAGCCTGCCAAATGTCTGTAGATGTCAAGCAAAAGATTTGTTTGCTCTAGAACAGTGAAACCTTTGGGTTAAAAGAATTCAATCATGTTGGTTAAACTTCAGCCTTCACTCAGCTGCTGATTTACCTTCTCTGGCATGTATTTGTGTTGGAACTGTTGTGGGATGAGAGGTTAGCAATAAAGTTCTTAGCTAGGAGAAAAATTAAAATGTCTAAAGCCTACTGGACCATGTTTCTCAGCTTGTTTTTAGATGTTTCAAGATTATCTTGTATTTCAGTAGCAGTAAAGTAGGATTCAAGTGGTATTGAAAGTTTGTTTTAATTTGGATATAGACTTTGCAAACATAATTTGGTGCTTAACATTCTTAAAATTGCACATGTAAAACTCAGGTAGTGTTTGCAATACTTAGGAAATTTTTATTTGCAAATATTTTTTTTCATTGGTTACTGATAATGTTGATGAGCTAAAAATTTTGTCAGGGATGATGGTACTAATTGGAAGTTCTAACGAATGTGGCCAATTAAGTTCAGTATTAGCTCTCCAAACCAAGTTATGTGATGCTGCTGACCTATAAAGTGTGTATAGAAGCACATAATATAAAAGCACATTCTAAATTAAGTGCTCATGACTGGGATGAAAGTTTTTTTAGGACAATCTTTCTGAATGAGGAAAGAACTGGTGCAATTTCCAACCTTCTGATAGTTCCATTAATGTGAATGTACTAATAGCACTCACTTTGCTGATAATTTCTAATTATTTTATAAGAAACACAAGAACAGCACAGCATTTCCTTAGCTGTTTTTTAGAAGCCCAGATAGCTCCCGATATTACTTACTCTTGGGTCACAATAACTCAGTCAAAAGTCCTTTGAAGCATTGGTTTTGGGGAAGCAATAGTTGTTGCATGTTTTGTATTCAGTAGCGAAGAGATGTCCTCCTCATCACTGTGAATGTGAAATGTGATATGACCAGATGTACTAAGGAAGCACTTTCTCATGGAGTACATATCTTTATCTCCAGATTCCTCAGGCACCTGCCAGTTTAACTTGCCATGGAGAAAACAATTGTCTTATTTTGTTAGGAATTTACTGTGTTGGAAGAAATGATTAACAATGCTCTTAATAATTTCTGAAATTTGTATTTGTTGTATACAGATGATGCAGATGTTCGTATGACTGGTTTTTTCTAACTTGCAAATATTTAAACGAGCAACTTGTGAATAAAGTGGCAAAGCTATTCTTGGTCCTTTTTTCTTTTTTTAGGCCTTAGGTTAATAGATTTGGTGAGCTTTAGTCTCTATCTTTATTTGACCCTGGAAATTTTAACATGCTGTTCAAAGTCTACCCTTAAGAGAAGTTGGATGGATACTGTGTACTTGCTGGCTCAAAGCACAAGACGTTCCCATTACAGTGTTTGCCCTTCTTCCTTTAATGTTCAATTTAGTAACCTGAAATGGGAGAGCAATTGGATACAAGAGGCCTTTATTTAAGGGACAAATAAATCCTCTTAATTGTGTCTGAGGCTTATGAGAACCACTCAAGTACTTTGACTTAAGGTTCTACTGAATTTTTCTGTTGCTTTATTGTTTGGAAAATTCTCTGATGCCATATGATTACAGTGTGGTATCCTCTTAGTTGTAGGTGTCTTTGGAGGGACTCAAGGAAGGCCCCTTTACTCCATTCTTTATTCATGCCTCATAACTTTGCCGAGGGCATTACAAACAACTGAGTTGATTAGTTTGAGTTTCCTTGAAAATAACTCCATCACTGTTTTAAGAATCCAAGATTTTCATCCGTGTGAGGGGTTCTCTCTCCTGATACAGATCATCGCTTCTCTATGCCTTAGTTTAATGAATTATTGTGACCAGAAAAATTTGTCTCCTACTTGCCAATCCTCTTGTCAACTGTGGTCTCGTGCACATACCTAGCTGGTCCGCAGTCCCCAGATGGAACCTGTCCCTGAGGCCATACTCCAAGTCTCTCTCGCTTGGTATTACTACATGAATATCAAGTATTAATGTATGAAAGATGACAAAGCACTTAGAGAATGCTTGTTGGCTGACTTTTCAGAAAACTCAGGGTCATCGCCCTTCTTCCCACTTAGTATTGTCCTTCTCCACTAGGGAAAAGGGCAGGAACTGAACTTTCTGCTTGTATTAGTATTCTCAGCCCTTCACAAGGGCATATAGTAAAGTGCTTAATAAATGCTTGTGGGCTTTTCTGAAAATTCGATTCATGAAAGAGAAAGACCATCTGTCCTCTGATCCTGTAAAATAAAACCCTAATCTTACAATGGTCAACTACTGTAATGGAATTCATTCTGACCAGTGAATTTGTAACTGGGAACTACCTGAGAGGTTATCTCCCCATTTTACAGATTGGAAAACAAGAGTCCCAGAGAATCAAAGTGACCTTTTCCGTGTTTCATAGGTAGTGAGTCAGGGAGTCAGGATTTGAATCCAGGATCTCTGACTCCCAACCCAGTGTTCTTTTGAAGCCAGGTCCTCCAGTCAGCAAATCCAGAGCTCCCATTACTATGCCACACCACCTGCTTACCAGGAGTCATCCTGGAGCTAGTGTTTACAGTAAAGGGGACAGGAGGGCTTATTATAGCTAAGGTCAGAGAACCATACATTGGAAACAACCTGTGGCACTCCTACCAGGAAGTGCCACTTTGGATTTACGAAGATAGGGTGCATCCCAAGGGGGCTTTGAAGCTAGTCTGGTAGCAGATTGCTTGGTGTTAGTGCTGTGTTCGTTTCCCAGTCCTCTGTGCACTTGGAAGGCTTTTTGGATTTAAATCCGCTTTCAATGCTGGTCACACGTGCAGTAGGTTTTCTGTGTGACGAGGGCATCCAAGTACAGCTTCTTGAAAAAGCGATCCTCACCCTAGAACTAGTTGGCGCTGTGCCGAAAACAGGGCAAATGCTTTCACTTTCAAATTAATTGAAACAGAAAGGG